CGTGGTGTAGGACTTGCCATGAACCGGCTCTGATCAGTGTTTCAGTGCTTTGCAACATGTTTTTGCACATCGGTGATGGATGTTGTCTCTTGCAGCGTTATCCGGGCTGCAAATACTCTCGTCGTTACTTATGATTCTCATGGGTTTGATGTTGTCTTTCTCCTCTGTTTAACACTGTGTGTGTAGCCTTAGCCAACAATGTTGTGCTTTTTTCTTCTGCAAGGATGTACTTGGCCAGTCGTGGCGACATGCCGGACCAATATTGTTCTCGCGCATGTTATTCCTGCTTTTGGCCTGAATCGGGATTGTTTGTGCTGAATAAGCGCATCCTCAGCCATCCAAATAAATTTATCTCGGTCTTACCAAAGCAACAGCCTTTCCTGAGCCTTTTTTCCTATACATGTTCTACCATATCCAGACCCCTGCCCCCGGGAACCCCCCAAGTCCTCATGATTGGTTATTGGGGACGGAGTTGTTTCTAAGTTGGAGGATGCTCACGTGTCGTGTTGAGACGCCGGCCATATTCTACCTGCCACTAAACCCAAAGCCCGACCGTAGACCCGAAACCGAAACCCCAAGGCCAGCCAAGGCCCGCGGCCGTGAGCTCCCTGTTTTTGTTTCGAGCATCCGAAGTTTCAGTTTACGTGGGAAGCCCGCGGCCCGTGCTTCAAGCAGCTCCCTGCTGCTTGGTGGAATTATGGCCCTGTTGATGTCTCAGGGTGTAGAGTTTAGATAAGTTTAGGGTAGGGCCGCCATGCGCACTCGGGTTATGTGGCTGAGGCTCCACCCCGCTGCCATGGCCTTGTTGCTGGGGCGACCAGGCCGGCTCCCTGCGATCATCCTTTGCTCGAGGCTTGGGTAACGAGGCGGACAATGCCCACGCTTTGCATGATGAAGCAGATGAAGCAGCTCAGCTTGACCAGATCTGAAGATCCATCATCTCTTTGAGAAGCGGTCATCAAGCTACTAACACAGTTTCAGTCCGAAGCTCTTTTTGGTCCGTTGGTGTGCTCGAAGCGATGGAACACTGTTTTTGTAAGCCACAGTCTGTGCATAGTCTAAGGGAGGGCTTTGACATGTGAAAAACACGCACCTTTTCGCAGCCCAGCTAAGGATGTGGTGGAAGTTCCCGTCGCCTAGCGAGACCTTCTTGCATGCACTCCCGGCTATATGACCCCTGTGCTCATTTCTCAGCAGAAAGACATGAGGGGCTTTCTACAAGAAGCCCGATGAGAGCATCTCACAGCAAGGGTTTCCGGATTGCCATGCGCGCGGGGCGCGCGCCGTGTGAGTTCTGGTAATGGGTCCTTGCCACCGAGCCTGATCTCCTGACCATCGTCGGCCCTTTTCTTCTAAAGCTCTCTCCCTTGCTGCGCGCGATCGCCCTAAGATCGATACAGGCCGTACACCGGACATCCGAAGAACCGGAGGAAGCGAGATCCTTCACTTCCCCAGACCTTGTCCTATTCAATTTCCAACCAGCTCTCCCATTCGGGTGTTTAGGTCTTCAGAGCCGTTCAGGGCTGGGATTTCGGATTGTTGGGTTAGCCCACTAACAGTGCGAAAAGGCTTTGGCCACTAAATACACAACCCAAAACTAGCATCTGCAAAAGAATTTTCACTTCCCAGCCAGATCTGACCATGTAAACACGTTCGGGATCATAAATTAGGACAGGACCTAATCCTTTAGTGCCAGAGTCCTTGTATTCTGTTTGTAAAGTTTTGGACTTTGCAAGCAGTGAAGGGCATGAGCCCCTCATTCTAGAATTCTTAATTATATCTAATCCTTTGTTATCCTCCTACGCCGCTGCAGTCACGGAAAGCCAGATTCATCAGTACATAACCTCTTCAAGGAGACCACCCCAAGAAAATAAACATGGGCAAGCTTCCATACTTCATCAGAGCAGCACAAGGGAGTCCTAGTTGCCATGTACTGTAACTGCACAGTGGGTTGGATGCACCAGAGGATGCACCCCGTGACGAATGAACCTCCCGACTGCATTCAACGAG